GATATCTTAAGATCATCCTAGATATCCTAGACATGTTTAGAATATCTTTGAATACTTCCTAGATGTCATTTATGATTCTAGGAAAATTTATGTTATTTAGACTGTTATCAATCTTTCTCTCTTTCTCGCTATTAATATTACGACTATTATGTTATTAATATCGTGAATATATTATTTTGGAGATTACACGAAAAATGCACATATACACAATGTAGAAAAACTATATGATTGGTCCACATATAGATCTGGTTGTGCCAACCAGATTTAATAGCAAAATAGGGAACAACTAATTATGTAGTTACTGCTAAAAAATAATTGCTGAGTTATAATGATATCTGTTTTTTCAACCAGAGTGTATCTGTGGTAAATATTACTACCGATGTCTGATCGCCAGATCACTTGCAACTACATTGATATTAATTGATACGTTAAAAAGTGCCTGAGTCATATCAACCATATATCTTGTCAACACACAAAGATAACCAGGCTGATGCAAATATGTCGCTCGCATCTAAATATTTCCAGTTACGTGCACCATACTTTTTCTTCCCACGTATACATGATAAAGACCGTATGTCCGACATATCTGTGGAAGGACATTCTATAATCGTCAGGAAACATGCTCGCGAAGATATCATATCTCAATTTCGCGGAGGAATCCTGCGTAATAGCGGCATAAATTGCGCGCTGGGTGTTACTCGAGAACCGTAAGAAAAGAGTTAACGATAGAACGCGGACGTTCTCTAATCTCCCCGGGAAACAGTCTCTCCTCGCTAACGCTAGGGTTAACGATCGGTACGTTACTCGAGAGTCACGGTGTATTAAGCGGGACACGTGGATCCTCAAGTCATCCCGCAGGAAGATACCCTACGCGCCGGCAGCGGGAGATAGCCTAACCTAACCGAAATTCCGGCTCCTGGACAGGCTTAGGGGGCATAATAAGGAGCGTTATGAAAGGAAGGAAGGCACGGGACAAGATCCTCTCTCGCACGTTGAATTCGAATCTGAGCCGTTGCCGAGCACCTTGAGCACACACGCGACGCGATTCAAAGCGACTCAGCTGTTTGGCCCCTCCGCTCGCCCCTCGGCTTCGACTCTCCTCCTTCTTTTTTCTTCTTCTCCTTTTTATTTCTCTTTTTACGTGCCCGTCTCGCCACGGGCAAGACCGAACTTTCAGTTTTGGCACGCGTCCTTTGACGACAAAAAACGTTGGAGCCGTTGGATGTCTACCTTTCGGCGCGAGACATTACGCGTTTCGCGTGGGGAAATCGAATAATTTGATTGCGGCGCTACGACTATAGGTGTATTCATCAACGGGAGCGTGAAATGTTGCCTTTTATCCTCGTCCCGACTAGCTGAGTAGTATGAAATATTAAGAAACGACAGCTTCTCAAATTGACGCAATCTGAGCGCCTTTCGGAATTTATAAGAAGACTTGTTTGTGAGAATTGATTGTAACGACATTTAATTTCGCGGGATGTGCGATGAGTAACTGACGAAGGTAGCTAATGAAGAAAGTGTCCTCGAATGCTCGTAAGAAAAGAAACATCAAGACAAGAAAAGCGAAAGTGTGTTGTTTACGAATCAACTTAGCAAGTACTTTCGTCACATTAACGCGTTAAATGACGATGGTTGGCCCCAAAAGGTAGACATTAAACGCTTTTTCCGAGGATAGAGGAATACTTTCGCGTGATCAATAGAACGTGCAACCTACAGAGAATTGGGATACGATCGATCGGGGTTGTGTCAGCGAGTTTCGAGTGCGCGGCCGATTCGCGCGCGCGCGCGCGCGTCACCCTATTTTTCTCCCGCGGCAGGTACATAGAACGTACGTTACGCAAGAGAGCCGGTAACGTATCCGAGTCCTCTACCTGAAAGCTTTCAGAGGGAGGGAAAGAAGGAGAAGAAAAAAAAAGGGAGACGAGAGAGACGGGCGATGGCATGGGGATGGCACGCGCCAACATAAGCGGCAAGGAGCGGCGGCCCCGATCGGCTGCAGCTGCGCTCTCGGCTTCTCCGCTCTTGGCAGCCAAGCGGCCCTTAGAGCTTGGCTCCCAGCCGATCTTGACCCGATCGTATCGAACGCGCCGCGGCCGACCCGCTGTCATCCGAAAACGAATAACAACGCCCGCGTCTCCCCGGAGGCCTCTGCTATTCTCGAAAGGGCGACAAGTTGACTTTACATTCGTGATTTATATCGTGCCGTATCGCGCCTCGTCGTCTATAAACGGACGGTTACAGCGAGCACTGGCGAGAAGTGCTCCTCCTCGAGTGAGACAGTGAAACGGAATTATTATCGCGTTACTTTCTCCATGCTACTCGGTCCGCATATTATTGCCTCGCAAGAAGTTACCTGAGTGCGATGATTTTATCTGCAAAGCTGCGACAGGTGATACATTGAGAGAGAAATATCTAAAAATTAGTAAATATTTATTTGATTTTTGATCACTAACTTTAATTGAATCTGAATCCTTTTACTTCAATAGAATAAATAATTGCTTTTATGAAAAACTAAGATTCTCTTAAGGTCTCTAGAAAAAATATATTTTCTTATCTGAAAAATATTCTATATTAGTGTAAGCAAATATTTTGTGTCAGTGCGCACTCATCAAATAAATATTTACCATTTTTTAAATACTTTTTTCTCTCACTGTATGAGAGTGACAAGTGTTAGGTGTATTGAGTCGAGCAATTATTCATAAAATATCAGTTTCTCTTCTCTTGACAGTCTCGAATGCCAATTCCCATATATATACAGAAAAGTATTTCTGAAAAATAGAAAAGATTTATTTGATGAATACCATTACACGATCAGCTCTGTGTAAATGTTAATGCAATTCGTACATTGATTTGGTTCTTTTCACGCATCTGTCACTTTACAACTGTACCGTCGATTGCGTTACAACGGTATTATTATTCATCACCCCGCATAAAACGCGACGTAAATCGTCTTCGACGAGGATATATTTCAGCTAAACGACGTTCTCGATTCTGCTCCCTGCTGCTCGTCCCGTCGATGTCCTCACTGGTTAGACACGTGCATCTGACAGAGGCCTATCGTTAGCACCTATCGTAGCCCGTATAAAAAGCGCGGGGCCACCCTCGCGCCGTGTTTAGACACGGTCGCTATTCGCTTGATAAACGGCCGGTGGGCGGCTGGTCAAGCGGTCAGTACACAACGCGTTGTCGTTTGTCGTTGCATTGTGCTAACTGCGCGTGGAAACACGACGTACACGATTAGCCACCCTCGTAAACCCCGGCGGTTAGGAGGGCTGGCCGCTACCTTCGAGGCCTCGCGCGTATATTACGACGAGGGGACGACGACGGCGACGACGATGACGACTACCAGCTGGCGCTACAACGAGGCGTCCTCCTCGCAGGATTTTCGTCCCCATTGTCCTCGTAAACGCCTCGCACCGACGTCCGTCCGATCGTCACATGCCGCTTCAGGCGGATGTAGGCGCTTAACTTCGATTTTTTCCTCTTCTTTTTTTTTATTTTATCAATGCCGCACTCTTCTCCCTAGGGAGTCTTTTCTTTCTCGCCTTTGAGCCGGTAATCATAGTTCCTCACAGCTCGGCAATTACAAAAGAAACATAACACATGACGTTGGCTATGTTTAGCTATGGATCAGTCGCGGAAGTTCGTCTTCAAGTCTTTGGCTGGAGAAAGGCTGGAGACGACGAAATTGTGTTGTATTAGGTTGGCACGGAAGATTTGTCGTTTTTTTATTAAATAGTCGTAGAAGTTTGAGCATCTCTCTTAAGAGAAGAACGGCAAGACTTCGTTAGATGTCTCAAAAGATATTGTGTCAATGCTATTCCTTTAATCTATAAAAGGGATTAATTCTTCGAAACCGGATGATTTAATTTTATATTTTATTTGACAAGTTCGACAAACTTTTTATGTAAACTTAATAGAATGTAGGGTAATTTTTGGATAATCGTGCACCTTTATTTAATTCTTTATTCAATGATCGTACTATGTTTGTGCGTGTTAGGCATTAATCTATTTTTTCTCTTCGGCTAAAATAATCGGCAAATCAATCAGGAAAATTAATCGTTACATATAAAATGTCGTTTAATAAAATCATTTATTAATAAAACTTTGATGTGTGATTGTATACTGATTAATAATCAATTTCGTCAAAATTATTTTGTGATTTTATATATGACTATTGATTTAGTCAAAGAAAGATTATTTTATTCCAGGAAAATTTTAATCAATTAATGCCCAATCGTACATTTTTATATAATACTTTTGTAATCTCAGAAACAATTATTTTAATTATTCAAGCGCTAAAATATTAACCAGTAATATAAAACCAATAATATAAAACCAATAATATAACATAAAATTGTTATTATACATAATTCGCTATTTTTAAATTTTAATAATCAGTAATTGAATAAAAAATCAGTAATGCGTACGTACATGAACGTGATTATGGAAACGTTATTATGGAGAGAACACACGTATTAAGTAATTAAATATTATAATGTAAACTATTTGGATAATATATTATAGAACAACTATAGAAAATAGAATAGACTATAGAAATATTCAATAGAAAAACTATACAATTTCCGCATGCTAACATGTATGTTGTCTGAAAGATCGCGTGACTTTCGGAACAATAACACGCGTAGGTAGGCTCCGTACTCGAGATCGTATACAGTCTTCGACGCACGGGCGAACACATCGGGTGACGTCGCGCGGTATTCCCGATTATTTTACATTTATCGACGCGTATTTCGAATTATCGTGTGAAAATTCGCGAGCGTGATTTTAGTGCTAGGAATATTGCAAGTTATTGAGATGTGCTAATATTTAAAGAGTAATTATTATATTCCATTTTTATTATATTTAAAGAAGAAACATAAAATATTGCACCTTGTATTTTATATATAAGGTTTTAATATTGTGATTCTTATTTACTTGCATTCGTTCGTTAAACCGAATTCTCGAATCTAACCTCAAATTTATTTTTTTTGTTCCAGAACTGGAAGAGAATGTGGCCAACCCTAAGTTCGATGCGTATCGGTGAGTAAAAAATAAAAAATTAAAGTAATTATTTTAATTAATTAAGCGTTAAAATACAAATCAATTAAAATAAAATTATTGCTCCTATATTTTAAGAGAAAAATGAATATAGTATTTCAAATAGAAAAAAAAATATATACATTTTTTTTTATTATCTTAAGTGTCAAAGTTGCACTTTTGAACTAATAAGACAATAAAATAAATTTGAAATAATAGTAAAAAATTATGAAATTCTTCATATCTATAAAATAATTAAAAGAATGATATTTATATAAATTTATTTGTAAAAATTAACAGAGAGTTATATTATTAAATTGTGTCATTTCATGTACAATTGGAAATGTCAATATGCGTCTTTATATTGGTTTGTATTTTAGCCACTGTGTTTTAAGCATCGCGTGCATAGAAAAGAGGACATTCTTGTTTAGAAAATATATATTGTAACAAAATTATATAAATTATATATTAACAACATATCGTTGCTTATATATGAAACTATGATTGTTTTATGTATGAAACAATGATTGTTAATTTAAATATATTAGTTTTAAGTAAGAATAGGAGAACCTGGAGCACATATAACACATTTAGGAACATCACATTCTCAAGTCAATATTTAGACTTTTCATTAATGAAACTTATTTTTTAATTGGAAGAACACAGGTTTTTCTTGGTTGGATCATATAAAATTTATTCTTGCAAGTAACTCATCCTGATAATCTCACTTGAAGATTAATATATCAGGAATAAAGATAATTTCTAAATAAGAATGTCCTTTTTTTTGCGTGCAATTTCGGCCGGTGGTTGAACACAGCGTGCAGAAAGTTCCCATGCTGGAACAGGCTTCCGTATTTCAGGACTATGCAAAATGATCGCGAACTCGTTCCCTCCGTAGTTACGTCTTTGAATATACGTTCACCTCCTCTCAATTATGCCAGACGCTATCATCGTGCGTTAGCCGTAATCGCTGCCGGTATACGTTTATCGGTTGCACAATTAAATTATCATAGCCCTTTCGAGAAAGAGAGCTTTCGCGTTGATCCAGGAAGGAATAAGCCTCAGGCGAACGCTCGGGAAACCGGGCTGAAGCCGTCGTACAACGAGATAATTTATAGAAATATCCGCTGCACGACAGGTTAATGCCGCGACAGGAATGCATTCGGTATTTCTACACGTTGCACGCGCGGCATAATGCATCTCGTTTCCTCGTCCAACGCTTTTGAAGTAACCGACCGGGCAGGGATGTTTCGCCAAGATTTGCGTCGGCGATACATACGGCAGCGCTCTTAGAGTCGAGTGCGTTAATAATTTTGAGAAGACTCTCTCGAGCAATACGGAATGTCGCGTATGACTAGAACGGAAAACGTATTTTGTGCATTAAAATCTTACCGTGCTATAAACAACCAAAAAACGATGTACCGTGCGCAAATCGGCAGAATCGCCTCAACACTTATGCTATTAGAATTACTATAATTTTCAACCATGTGCATGAACATATATAGTTGTGCATACAATTGAAAATCGTATCCGCTACGTGTTAAGCGTATACAAGCCAGTCTGCGTACCCAATAAAATTTTACACGTGTCTACGCATTTACGAAATGTCGTTGGACAATGTCTTCAACGAGATTACTTATGTACAGGATGTTGCAAAATTGAAGACATTGCGAGTTTACTTGGATAATCATACGGAGTAGAATATCCCGATAGAAACATACCGACAAAGGTTATCGTGTATTCTACGGAAAAAATATTATAGTCTTTTTCTCATGTAAAAAAATTCTTGAACATTTACTTGTGGTAAGCTTATTTTGCACAAATAAATTTTCAAGTGTTTTTTCTCTCAGTCTACTAGTGCAAACTGTCAACAAAGTCTACCTTGCTAAAGAACACAGCCAATTTCGCTAGAAATATACTAAACTTTTTAATAGCATATTTGAATTCTTAAAGTATAAGTAGCACACATGAAATGAAAGGATAATTAATTACTGCGGAATGTCGATCTGTTCCGCTGTTAAACAATTCTGTAGCAATTTTTTATATAAAATTCTATTCGTGTAGTTCTCTATCTTCTATATCTAATCAAGGCTCGAATTAGGATTCTATTTGTTCCATCTGAAATTGGCTGTAAAATGCATTGGCCGACAATTTAGTTCGCGGAAAATCCTCTTTTCCATCGCTCATGATTTCGAGACAACAGTTATTTCGAGTTTCTCGCGTGGGTATTTTTTGCTCCAGCCAACAGATTAAATCGTTCCTATTCTATTTGCAAATTTTTAAACATCCTGTATATAGATTTTTACCGGAATAGTACGTAGAGTTGTTTATCGCCACAGCGGCGCCGTAAACTCTCCCAAGTCGCGACAAAGTGGATACAGGTACGCGTAATTTGCGGAACTGAGAGTAACGTCGAGGGAGATCTTCGAGAACACACACACGCACACGTACATACATATGTATATCGTCACGAGGCACGCGAGCTCACGTCGATGTTTCTTGCGCACTTGTCTTACGTCCACAGGTGTAACGACGGAAGGTGCGTCCCGTCTGCGGGCGATTCGCATTTTGTCCGCGTATCGAGAACGAATAGGTCCTACGAGGTCGCGCGACACTCGTTAATTAAAATAGCGAACTGTTAGTCCCGTATTAACGCGGGTTTATTGCAGCGCGGAATTCATTGAAACGCGCGTACGACCGTCACTCAATGTAATTACCCGTACCGTTCCCAGCCGACGGCGATCGCGAGCGATTCTCGTTAATGTCCACCCGTGGCTCTCGCGGAGGCTAAGCGCGCGTGCTTTTCAGCCGCGCCGTGTGTACATAAAAGGATTTATATATTGCCGGCACAATCGCGATTCCGTTAAGCCTCTTTTATGACGGGTTTCATTTTCTACCGCCGGGCATAAAAGCGGCCGATACTGTGCGAGCTAACTCTCTTCGCGCAAAGTTTCGCGTTATCGTTTACCCCACGACGATTTGCGATGTTCCGACTCGATTTCGGGGCGGACGGTAACTATAACGGAGAAGATGAGGGACCACAAAGTACTATCCGGTTGTCTATCATTTCATTTAGATCATTCGCCCGACGTACATTTATTATTGTTGGTAATTTTGACACGATCTCTTCTAGAGAGCGCCTGACGCTACTCTCTCTTGGTGAATGATCACACGCGATGCGACAAATGAATCGTGATAGCGGCACCTGCTCTGTCGTGTGATTGTGAGGAAAAATACTTATTTGTTTAAACATTTATTTGTGGGATATAAAGTTTATTTCTGTGAACTTTCATCTCGCAAATAAGTTTTCAAGTACTTTTTTTCTCAGCGTACTCTTTTAAAGCGAGTCAGTGAAATATCATTGAAAGCAGTGAATATATACTGATTTACAGTTATAAGTGCACTGAAACTGTTCAGTGTTATATTCATAACTGATATCAATAACTATTCACATTGATTCCCTTTAAAAGAGTAAATTGGGTCAAGTTGAACTCAAAAAGGTCTTCTACCCTTTTGCAAAAGACCACCATAAATTTTTAGTTATTAATTAGTTATTAATTAAAGAACATTGATGCATTATCACGCGCGATTATCTGCCAATTTTCTGAAATTAATAACTTAAAAGTTTACGTGATTATTTGCAAGATAGATTGGTAGAGGACTTTCTTGTTCAATTTGGTGTATCTAATGTACAAGCATACGACGGCAGATATATCACGCGTGATCATTAGACTTTTAATCTTTTCATAATTTCAATTAATCTTTTAATCTTTTCATAATTTAATTAAAGTTGGCGTAAATAAGATTTATAACATAATAGATAATAGATTTATTGGATTTGGAAATATAGTATATAAGCGTGTGTCTGCAGTGAACGAATACTGCAGATAGAAATTCAGGATGCTATTTGCACTTGGTTTAATATTAAATTGGAACGTGCACTTTTATAGCCACGATGCAGCTTTGATTCGCCACGCGACAAAAACATTCAGCGAAAACAATTATTAATTCAGTAGACAGTTTTTAGTTCGCGGCATGCCAGCGTGATTTCCCGCGGTCGATAGCTGAGCTGATGATTCGTCGCCGGCTAAAAACGGCGCCACTTTATGACGAATTCTCCGGCGACACTTGTCCGTGTGTTACACTGTTATCGCGACGCGTTCGTTTTCGTTCCTGCATTTATTCAAAAACCATTCGGGGGCGCACCACGAAAATAACTCTCCCTCAGCTTGCCGCGGATGCAATTTTCATTAAGAGCGCTCACCTTGGTCGCGTGACACCGTCTTAATTCGCAATGGGACGGCTCAACGAGCAGCTGGCTTCATAACGCGCTGATTTACAGGCGTTAATTAAATATCCAGTTTGCATGATCCCGATTCGACGCGGCGCAAACGCGAAGTCGGAGGCTTTTTTGTGTGACGGCACACGCCGCATCGTGATGTTCTCATCATATCAAACGCAGCGATCTCCCGTGAGTGCATGATGCGCCTCTTGCAAAAGTGATCAGATTGATATTCTCGCGATCAGATTGGGCAATTTATTTTCTTTCCACACAGTGGTTACACAAAATGCCATCTTGTGACCTTTTCTACTCTCGCTTTCGATTCTTCCGAAATATACACGAAGAAAATATTGTAATAAATGTCATGTTAAAATTATATTTTTTTCTACAATATCTTTGGTAGAACTCTGGGCTCTATACCGAAATTGCACAGTGTAAATTGCCATACACGGAGAGAGAATTTTTATAGTAAAAATTATTATAGAATTTTATAACCGAATCTTTTTCTGCACTACTAATAGTACATATAGTGAAATTGAAAAGAATTTATATTAAAAGAAATTATAACATTCCCTCTGTAGTAATACTAAATTTAACGATATACAAAGAACATTCAAATGATTATAATAATTTTGTAGTAAAAAGTCAAACATGCATAACGTTGTTGAAGCAAATATATAGTAATTTTTGTATCTTCCCACGAGAGATTGTGTTGTAATTT